TTTTCTGTAAGAGGCCAGGTGAGCCCTAGCTGGTTTGGCTCAGTGGATAGAGCATCAGCCTGTGGACTGAAGGGTCCCAGGTTTGATTCCAGTCAAGGGCACATGCCCAGGGTTGCCAGCTTGATCCCCGGTAGGGCGCATGCAGGGGGCAGCTGATCAATGATTCTCTGTCATCATTGATGTTTCTCTCTCTCCTTTCCTCTCTGAAATCAATAAAAATTATCTATACTAATAAAAGGCCTGTGGCCATGATGCTATAATGTGGAACAACCAAACAACCGGTCACCAGGAGGTCCAGAGTCTAGAACACCGTGGTCCCAGCAGTGACATGCACCCCGATCTGGGGTATGGCCAGTCTGCAAACCGCCTGCGCCCCAAGCCCAGGCTAGCCTTGCCACCCAGCAGGGACCCACACCCCGATCAGGGGCATAGCAGGCCTGCAAACCTCTGGCGCTCCAAGCCCAGGCTGGCCTTGCCCCCCAGCAGAATCGGCCCTTGGGGAATCAGCCATCAGTCAGCTTGCTGTCAACAGCAAGACAGCCAGGAATCCCATTCACCCACACCCAGGACCCAGACAGCAGAGCGGCGGGAGCCCCATCCCAAGGGAAATTAGTCAAGCACTCTGAAAATGTTTTTACTCTTAATGTGATACACAGGGAGATATTAGAATAAGTTTAATCAATTTATCAGTTATTGTTTATATCAATGTTGTTTGTACATCATGTTTTTGTTTACATATTTTAGACTTTGCAGGCCATTCAGTCTGTCACCACTCCTCAACTCTGCCACTGTAACACTAAAGCAGGCATAGATAATACAGAAACAAGTGAGCATGACTGTGTTCCAAAAACTTTATTGACAAAAACAGTAGATTTGGCCATTGAGCCATATCCCTACTCCAGGTCCAGCTAAAACAAAGATTCTGGTCAACCATTAACACTAAGGTCAAATATGCAGAAAAATTAAACCTTCTGACAAAGAAAAATGAAAAGCCTGCCGAAGTATAATTGGTTTAAGATAAATGCAAATAAAAATAAATGTATAATTGGTTAACTAATAAATGTATCAGGCAAATATTTATAGGACTAGGAGGTATCTTTACGATGCAAACCCTGGCAAACCAGATCACAAGTTAGCATCATGTTGGGGCTAACTAACAAAGGAGCTAGCAGGCGAGGGTGTTAGCACCACGTACAGGGAGAGACATCTGTGTCCAGAGGTACAACCAGTGCATTTGACTGTCTCTACAGAGAGATACCAACAGAGCCGTTGCCCAGAGAGAACAAGTAGCTATGGGCGAAAGCAGAGGTAAATGTCCCAAAGGCTGTTGCCGCCACAGAGTCCGTCCTTCCCAGTGGGTGCTCAGAATAGCCAATGGCTGTGATGGCAAGGACCAAGGTGACTGTCCAACCAATATGGTGACCAAGGCCTTGTGGGAGTTGAGAAAGGGGCTCTGTATTAGTCCATTTTTAAAATTCAGTAAGAACCAAACTAGTCTTATGTCATTTTTCTTTTCTTCCTATAACTCTTATGATTATGCTTATTTTACCTAAAAGAAACACTGCCTTACATGTACTCATTTAAAATTCTTTTTTCTATTTTTCTAATCAGTTGCTTTTCACACTGTAACAGTTAAATTCTACAGCATAACCAATTACTTGCATATAAAGTTAAAAAGGAATCCTTTGAAAATGGAGTGCTTCTAATGAATTTATGCATTTTTACAATCGTTTACTTGTACCTTCAAATAGTAGGAAGCCTTTTAAAAAGCAGTTTAGTGCCTAATCTATGTAGAAGACTAAATTCATGCTTATAGCTGAATGTGGTCTTTGCTAACTAAATCTAAATTGCAGAAGTTTAGAGATTTAAATGTCGGTGTTTGTACAATATTGTTTGCTAATTTTACATAAAGACATCAGTGTGCATTTGTGATTAAATGTAGTCTCCTATTACCTACAAGAAGCAAATTTCTGCAGAGGGTATTTCAAAAGGCACTTATATGAATCTAACCTGCAAAAACATTATTTTGTTCAGCTCTATTGCTGCATTTTTGGCATACATTTTTCCCATTGAATTTTAAAAAGACTTTTTTGAACATTCAAAAATATGTGTGTACTTGCTATATTCAAGCCACTGAAGATAGAAAAAACGAGTAAGAAAATATTTCTACTTTCAAGAGTGTGAGGAGCCCGCACGGCCATGGCATACTCAGCCCCAGTCCTACTTTCAAGAGGGTGAGGAGCCCGCACAGCCATGGCATACTCGCCCCAGGGCTCCTTATGTGCGGTGCAGCCAGGTTCGGCCAGGTTCGGTGACCTTGAGAGGGGGTGGTGAAGGATTGAGAAAAGACAGACAAGAGAATGAAAGCTGGGTCTGGGTGGGACGCTGTCCTGTCTGATGGAGAGCTAGCGACAGGGCCACAGGCTACAAGCCGTGTCTTTATTTTATAGCCAGATTCCATGAGGCGAAATAAGGGCTTGGGCAAGATGTTTACAACTTTCTCGTGGGTTTCGATCCTACTCAATTACATGCACCTGAACCCTATCAAGCCCACATCACTCAGGCACGTGGGGCCACGTGTTTGGACCATAGGTTCAAGCTTACAACTATAGCTGTTGGCTCTAATTGTGCTGGGAGGGCTTTGCCTTCCAAGCTGGAACTTGCACGTGGCAATGAGAGGACTGTGCCCTCTCATGAGTCCAAGGCTTGAACCCGTCCAAACACTGTAGCCACTCTCCACAAAGAGGCTCACAGCTTAGTGAGGGAGACCCAAAAAGAGACTTATCAGACAAAGTAATAAATACAGCAATAGCAAGGTAGCTGGGGAACTTAAGCAGAAAGTACGTTTTCAAATGATAGCAGGTAGCTCACTGATTCTGGGAGAGTAAGGCATCCAGCTGTGCTGCTCAGCATCCCACACAGTATCACTGGGCCCTGCTGCGGGAACCACCACCTGCCACCGCTGGACAGTAGCTCTGGCTGTCACAACTGCCGTCATCTTTCCCAGGACAGATTTCCCTGCCTCGTGTCACCAGCATCTGAATCAAAATCTGGCACTGGCATATCTGACTAACGGAACCTAGTCACGTGGCTGCACCCTGGTCTCCCACCGAGAATCTCTAGTTGGGGAAGTTCCCAAGCATAGAACTGAGGTTCAGATGCTGAACTGCCGTAAAGATTGAAAATCTGCTGCAGCCCTGACGCTGGCTTGGAGGTGTAAGAGGAGGCAGTCAGGGAAGGCTCTTTGGAGAAGATGACCTTTAGTTGAGTCTTAATTAAAGGTAACCAGGGTATTCCAAGCAGAAGGGATAGATAACCAGAAAGCTAGAATCAAAAGGTGAGTGTGTGGCCCAGCCAGCGTGGCTCAGTGGTTGAGCATCAACCTATGGACCAGGAGGGTCATGGTTTGATTCCCAGCCAGGGCCCGGGGTGTGGGCTTGAACCCCAGTATGGTGCGTGCAGGTGGCAGCCAGTCAATGATTCTCTCTCAGGATTGATGTTTCTATCTCTCCCTCTCCCTTCCTCTCTGAAATAAGTTTTGTTAAAGGTGTGCGTGCGTGCGTGTGTGTGTGTGTGTGTGTGTGTGTGTGAAAATAAAACCATTTTAATGTTGCTGGAGCTTAACATGAGATATGAGAGTTAGAAGAAATGAGATTGGATCAGATGTTAGGGAGCTTCATTATAGCATAATAAGGAATTTTAATTTTACTCTGGATTGCTGTTGAATGAAGGGGTCAGTTTTGCATGTTTGACCACTGGTAGCCATGGGTGGGTATGTCTGAGAAAAACAATACAGGAAGTAGGGATACCTCTGCCATCAGTCCAGGTTAGATGCAAAGAGAACCTGAATGATGATGGAAGTGATGGGGACAGAGACATAAAACTGGGAAGGCCTGGTGGCTGAGGTGATTGGAAAAGGAAAAAGTAAGAGTGATGGGAACAAACCCACCATGAAGGCCCAGGGTGGGAGCTGCCCTTGGAAGTGTGTGAACCACAGCTGGCCCCTACCCGGGATGGTGATCTGCAGTCACACAGACGGCAGCGTTCGAGGCTCCTCAGGGGAGAGTTTCATTCAGAGAAGTTCTGGGAAATGCTCCCAGGTGACAGCTCAGGCCTCAAAGGACGTCCACAGATAACATCCCAGAGAGTGGGCAGCTCATTGAAAAATTCACAAGGCACACAGAAAATAAAGCACCATGAATGAGGACCAGCAGAGGCCTCACATTGACACCTCAGTATTAACCAGGGAAATACAAATTAAAACCTCACCGAGGTACCAATTCGTTCTCATCAGGTTGACAGATGTTTTAAATTGGCATTGCCAGTTTGGCATCTATACTAATAATAGAGGAATATGCAAATTGTCCAGGATGCTGTCACAGTAACAGTAATGACCGAACAGCGGGATGGAAGGCTGTGTGGGGCAACAAGGCTGGCAGGGGGGTTAGTGAGGGACACCCAAATGACTGAACAGCAGGCTGTGTGGGGCAACCAGGATGGCACGGGGGTTAGTGAGGGAAGGCCTGTAGGGGAGGGCAGTTAGGGGCAACCAGGCCTGCAGGGGAGGGCAGTGGGGGGGATCAGGCCGGCAGGTGAGCAGTTAGACATCGATCAGGCTGGCAGGGGGATGGTTAGGGGTGATCAGGCTGGCAGAGGAGGCAGTTAGGGGCAATCAGGTAGGCAGGCAGGCAGATGAGCAGTTAGGAGCCAGTGGTCCCAGATTGTGAGAGGAATGTCTGACTGCCAATTTATTTCCTAAACCAGCAGTCGGACATCCCCTGAGGGGTCCCGGATTGGACAGGGTGCAGACTGGGCTGAAGGGACCCCCCCGCAGTTAACAAAGTTTGTGCACTGGGCCTCTAGTTACCTAATATATGCATGTAAATATGTGCATACTCCCCGTTCCTACATTATACCCTAAAGAGTCTTGCACATGTATGTCAGGAATTATATATAGAATGTTTATAATAGTAGCATTCATCACAGGAAAAAAACAACAACCACCCTAGATGTAACCCTACTGCTGATGAACATTAAAATGGATAAACTGTGGCAGTGGGAGCAAACTAACCCCACGACTGAGCATCAAACGTGGCTAAATCTCAAAAGTGATATTGAAGAAAAGTCATAGAAGAATGCAGGCGGCATGAGTCAGGCCATTTGCATACGTTTCTTAAAAATTGCATATGTTTCTTAAAAGGTACATACACATTGTTTGAAGATACATACAAAGTGATAAAACTAAAATGGAAAACGAGGGGATAATAATTATGAGATTCAGGATAGTGGTATCTCTGGGGGTAGGCAGCAGGCTAGCAAAGGGGCCATCAGAGGATTCTGATGTAGCTGGTGATATTCATTTCCTTAACCTGGGGAGTGGGGACACGGGTATGCACTTCTGATCCTTCTTTAAAACGTACATTTTACACACACTCCTCAATGTGTGGTACAGTTCCCCAAAATAAAATTAAATAAGGAATGATCCTTCTAGTCCTTCTCTAAGCCACGGGACCTGTCAGAGGGCGGTGCTGTTCGCATTCTCAATGCCAGCTTCTTTGGCCATAAAATAAAAGGGGCCAGGTTTTGCCAGCAGCTCTTCGGGGCTGCCAAACTCGACAATCTTCCCGTTGTCTAGGACCATTACCCTGAAACAAAGAAGGAAAGGCAAGCCTTAGGAAGCAGCATCTCAAATCTCGGCGTTGGTAAGAACAGCCAGCACTGAGTCACGGTAAAATCATTCAGACCAGGCTACCAAGCAGGGTGGGCGAAAGGACCCCAGCACCTGCAGCAACACGGGTGAATTCCATACGTATGCCGAACTGGAAGGGTATGCTTAGTCTGAGTCCATGTACATCCGCTTTTTTTAAAAAAAAGACACACGTTGTTTAAGGGAGCCTGTCCTGCCCGCTGTCTAAGACGACTGACATTATCCCCATTTTGAATGTCTTCCGCCCGAGGAACAAAAAGCTGTTTACAGGGGTAGCCGCTGAGACCTTCAGTCGGAAGGTCTGTGGTCAGCGTCTGCCACTCATGGCTTGAACCTCCACCTCCCTGCACTCGGTTATGGTTGTACACAGTTTTCCATTTTTCCTCACGGCACTTTCCTTAGCCCTGTTGGCTTTTTCATTAACTTGATGTATAATTTTGGGCAAATTACTTGAAATCTCTCAGCCTCTGTTTCTTCATCAGTAAAATGATGGTAGTTAATCCTTCTGCTGTAAGAAATCTCACGGCTGATGCTATTACTATAAATATATTCGGTTATGGTTGTACACAGTTTTCCATTTTTCCTCACGGCACTTTCCTTAGCCCTGTTGGCTTTTTCATTAACTTGATGTATAATTTTGGGCAAATTACTTGAAATCTCTCAGCCTCTGTTTCTTCATCAGTAAAATGATGGTAGTTAATCCTTCTGCTGTAAGAAATCTCACGGCTGATGCTATTACTATAAATATATACAGCAGGACCCACACAGGGAATTGAGCCAGCAACCTGAGTATGTGCCCTGACGGGGAATCGAAGTGTGACCTCCTGGTTCCTAGGTCAGTGCTCAGCCACTGAGCCACACCAGCTGGGCTGATGCTATTACTGTTGACAAAGCGTTAAGCCGGGTCTGTCAAACTCTGCCCTCCCCCCCCACACACACTCACTTGTCGCTGTCCATGATGGTGTGCAGCCTGTGGGCGATGGTGATCGCCGTGCAGTGGGAGAACTCCTTTCGGATGGTTATCTGGATGAGCTGATCTGTCTCTAGATCGACTGCAGCGGTGGCCTCATCCATGATCAGAATTTTGGATTTCCGAAGCAGAGCCCGGGCCAGGCACAGTAGCTGCTTCTGCCCGATGCTGCGGCCAATGGGAGAAATCAAGCATTAGCCCAAGGACCAAGGACTAACCCGGGAAGGGATGTGGGGGCCGGTAAGACTTTGCAAAGCCGCACTCCTAAATCCCCCCAGGATGCCTCAGCCAAACTTCCCCAATCAATTAGAAGGCCCACCACACGTACCTAATTAAAATGTTACGTTTGTGGGCCCCACACTTCTCAGTCAGAATGGGGAGGAGCCAGGGAACGTGTATTTTTAATAAGCACCCCAGGTGATTCCATGTTTGACAAGTTTGGGAAATACTAGCCCAGGAAGAGTGCTTTGCGTTTGGCTACAGGGATGTCCCAGTACACCAACAACAATTCCAAAAAAAGGAGATGGATGCCCCAAGTTCACTTCAGCAGTGTTGGACCTGACGCCATTTACTAGTAGATAAGGTGACATCTCGCCAGAATGCCCCAGTGGCATTTCTCAGTGGCCTTAGCAAATCCATTCGTTATTTTAATGTGTAATTCTAGTCTCAAAGCTAATTATTTGTTCAAGGCCTTCTGCCTTGATTAGAGACGTAGCTCTCTAATGAACATGATGTCTTGGTGTGAGATGCAGTGTATGTGGAACTCGAATATGCTTGTAAAATGCAAATCGCTTTAATTTGCGAAGAGCCGGTAATGAAGACTGGACCTCTTAGTCGCATAAAGAAGCTTTGGGAAATGATGTGGAGGAAATATTCAGTAGCTCGCTAATTGCTCTTCCCTGCTGTGGCCATTCGGGAGCATATTAAGCAGAGGGTGGCTAGACTAAAAGCTCTGTAATTCTCGGAGAAAATTTCCTGCAGGAGATGAGAAGTCACCCAACATGAACTTTCAGGTTTTTTTTCTGTAAAAACAGAGGCAACTGCAATTTCCTTAACTTGTACCGAACCCCCGCCTGGTACAGCTGGGCCTCACGTCACAGGCCCAGGCACCACTCTGGCTCCGCAGCGCCTCTCTCTCCCAGCTGATGGATCTCTGATCTCTGATCACTCATCAAAGAAATTTAAGTTTCAATACCTCCCAACCAGGTCTGAAATCTAGGCACTGGGAATGTTATTTAAGTGTCTCCCAGCGTGGACAGAGAAGGATGGTTCTTAAAAACCGAAAGTATCAAGCTCACCCCTCCCCACCCTGCCAGAGGGTCCCACATGGCCCCACGTGTCTGCAGTGTCTGTAGCATTCACTGCCTGGCCTTTACGCGGACAGGCCTGTCTTCTCCATGAAGCTGTAAGCACTAGGCCAGGGGTGGGTCTGTGTCATCTTCCTCTGTGCCTGCAGTGCCTGCATGTACTAGCTGCTCAATGTACATTTGTTGACTGAATGTCTGAATGGCCTATTTCACAGGCCTAAAGGCCCACTTCAGTCCTGCTAGTGCCTCGCTCTGTTGCTGAGGACAAGCAAACATGATGCCTTCTACATCAAAGCTTACAAGTGTCACCTGGGCCCCTGATTCAGCTGGTCTGGGCTGCAGTCTAGGCACTGAGATTTTTAAATATATTTTTTATTGATTTTTACAGAGAGGAAGGAAGAAGGATAGAGAGTTAGGAACATCAGTGAGAGAGAAACATCGATCAGCTGCCATCTGCAAGCTCCCTACTGGGGATCTAGCCTGCAACCAAGGTACATGTCCTAGATCGGAATCGAACCCAGGACTCTTAAGTCCAAGGGCTGACACTCTACCCACTGAACCAAAACAGTTAGGACTTTTTATTTTTTTAAAGATTACGAAGTGATTCTAGTCTGCATCACGGTTAAGAATCAATGCTCTTGCCCGGGCCTAGCCAGTTTGGCTCCGTGGATAGACCATCAGCCTGTGGACTGAAAGGTCCTGGGTTTAATTCTGGCCAAGGGCGTGTGCCACAGTTGCAGGCTGGATCCCCAGCCCGGGTCTGGGCACAGGAGGGAGGCAACCAATCGACGTGTCTCTCTCACATCGATGCTCTCTCTGTCTCTCCTCCTCCCTTTCTCTCTCTCTCTCTTTCTCAAAAAAAAAATAAAATCAATGGAAAAATATCCTCAGGTGAGGATTAACAACAAAAAGAATTAATGCCCTTGCCCTGGCCAGTGTGGCTCGATTGCTTGGGCATCATCCCGTGCACCAAAAGGTTACTGGTTGAATTGCCAGTCAAGGCATGTGCCCAGGTTGCAGGCTCTATCCCCAGTAGGGGGCGTGCAGGAGGCAGCCGATTGATGCTTCTCACATCGATGTTTCTCTCTCTCTCCCTCTCCCATCTTCTCTCTCTAAAATTCAATAAAACGTGTTAAAAATCAATGCTCTAGTCATTGTTTCTCAAACTGTAATATACACAAAAAATCAGCTGGGGATCTTACTGAAATGCAGACTCAGGTCAACAGCCTGCTTTTCTAACAAGTTCACAGGTGAAGCCAGAGTTGCTGATGCACTAATTGAGTTACTGAGCATCCCTTCTCTTATGAGCTACACCTGCTAATGGTCCAGGCCCATCCCATCATTCTGAAGGCACCTGGGACTGCAGCAAGGAGTACCTCTGAGCAGCGGGCTGTGGCTGAGGGCTGGCCTGCAGTGTGTGTGTGTGCGTGGGGGGGGACCCAGCTTTCACAGGGAAAATGCCAGGACAGCTTCTTAAAGACATAGTGAAGGCCAGAAGTATGAAGCGTCAACATATACAGACAATCTCTGGAGAGGTGAGGAGAACGGGGAAGCTGGGGGGGGGTCTCTGCTGGTTTGAGGTGTTTCAGGTGCCCCCCAAACTCTGCGGATACCAGTCCCCGTCATCCGCATGCCTTTCGACCAGCGCTGCTCAAACTGAGAGGCCCATAGCAACCCCTGGGGAGCCTTTGGCACTCCCACGTCCAGCCTACACCTCGTACCATGAAATCAGACTTCCAGGGTTGGACCGGGCGTCGGGACCGTTTCCATCCTGATTGCAGTGAGCAGCTGAGAGCAAACCCTCCCCGATGGGGACCTGTAGGCTCACTTTGTGAAATGTCTCGTGAGGGCACACATTCCAACCAAGGTTTTCACGAGTGTCACACCTATTCTCTCACGTCATTTTCACAGCCGGTTCGCTTTACACATTCGGAACTAGACCTGGAGGTGCCCATCCAGGATGCCAGGCACCTCTGGCTCAAGGAACAACGGAGTCCTTCCCCTGGCTCCTCTCAGTGCCTGCGGGAAGTGGGTTAGGAAACATTACCTGAGGTTGTCACCAGCCTCTGTCAGCTCGTGGGACAAGCCAAGTGGCAGGTTGGCCACAAAGGATTTGAGGTGAACCAGCTCCAGGGCCTTCCAAACCTCCTCATCTGAGTAGCTGTTGAAAGGGTCTAGATTCACCCTCAGGCTTCCAGAGAACAGGACGGGATCCTGCAAGTCAAGGGATGAAGGGGCTGCTGGGGCAAATGACAGGCCAGGACTAGCCGCCCTTGTGGCCAGGAGAAAGTGGGTAGGATAGGACGGGCCTGGGAGGGAAAGCTGGTTCGTGGCCAGGCTTTTGTCAGGTTTAGAGTGGCGGCCAGCGGGGAGCTAGGCACAGGAGTAGGAGGAATCCTTCGTTTGTTTTCTGTTGTTTTGCTTTTCATTCTGAGATGCACTTATGGATTTCCAAAATTGCCTCAGCACCTCTTTAAAAAGTAAAAAGAACCTCCCACACTCCCAAATGAAGACTCATGGTGTGGAGGGGGAGGGATCGAGGGCGGCACAGTCCCGGGGGAAGAATTCACGAGGCCTTTGGAGAGGCTGGAGGAGAGAGTGCATGAAACTGAGCAAACACCAGACACACCGAACCCACCCCCGAAGCCTGGCTGAGTGAGCAGAGGACCCACACATCACCGAGAGGCCCCCAGGGCAGTCCTTTTTGGTGAGGTCCAGAGAGGAAGCCCCGGGGAAGCGTTTCTTGCTGATGCACCAAGTGTGGGCTTGCTGACAGAAATCTGCAGCAAACTCCCTCCCCTGTCTGCTAACCATATCAAATGGGGCATATAAAGCTTAATGGTTTCAAGCTTCAGTGGCAAAACTGCTAATGCTGATTGCAAAGGGTCTTGCAAACCGTGATGGGCTATAGAAAAGCTAAGTAATCATCTGCTTTCTTTGACTCCTGTTGTGTTGCTGCCACCTACTGACTGGATACCGGCAGCCACACAAGCATATGGGCAAAACACGCAGAACTTATTTTTGTAAGTTCTGGAAACAGTGTGTCTTAGGGAACTAGCTCAGAGGCCCCGGGTCGACTGCAGAAATGGCACTGCTAATGGAATCTACATCAAGAAGAAGATGCACAGCCCAGGTCGTGTGGCTCAGTGGTTGACCGTCGACCTATGAACCAGAAGGTCACGGTTCAATTCCAGATCAGGGCGCATGCTCAGGCTGTGGGCTGGATCTCCAGTAGGGGGCGTGCAGGAGGTAGCCAATCAATGATTCTCTCTCATTGTTGATGTGCCTCTCTCTCTTCCCTCCCTCCCACCTGTCCCCCCACCATTGCCCCGCCCCCGCCTCCCGCCCAAGTGGGGCAGAGTAAGTTCTAGAGCTCACCTGGGGGATGATGGTCAGTTTCTCTCGGAGGTCGTGGAGCCCAATGGAAGCGATATCTACCCCATCAATGATGATCTGGCCACCGGAAGCCTCTAGGATTCTGAAGAGGCTGTTTGTCAGGGATGACTTCCCAGCTCCTGTCCTGCCCACCACACCGATCTGTAAAGAGATCCTTTGCAGTTAGTTCACCATATAATTCATGGTGGATAAACATTTAGCCTGGGGCGGGTAGAGAGAGGAGGAGAAGAGGGCTGTTCCATCCCACCTCCTAAATGTGCTTGCTGAGAACTACAGTGATTGTTGGAAATGGGCACATCAGCAGCTGTACTACAATTACTATTGGAAGGACTGGGCCTGCCATCAGCTGAGAACCAGACCCTGACCTGGACCTCAGATTTGTCCCCAGGTATTTTCTGGCCCTACATCAGACCCCAAGTCCTCAGGGAACAAGGACACCCAACGAGGGTGCAGGACTTTGCCAACCGGAAGGAGAACTAAGCTGTTCTCTCTACAGGGAGAACCTCCACATTGTTCTTACCAGTTCTTCCCCCACGCCACGTGTTTCCTGATCTCCTCTGCCTGCCCCAGCCCTTTCAGGAAATGAGCCCTCCTCAGCTACTGGAGAAGCAAGTGGGGGTGGGGAGGGGGGGTGCAAGAGGGCAGGGCAGGACTGAGCAGAAAGCCCTTACAGCCCAGTAAGTCTAATTGATCCCATGTGGATATCCTGCCCTCTGGTGGTGGCACTGTGTCCTTACATTGCCCCAGGAGAAAGTGCCCCATCCTGTCGCTCTACCAAATGATGACAGCCCAGAGCCCAGGTGGTCACCACCTCTGTGTCCAACAGTCCTCTCATCACAAGGACTCACATCTAGGCCTTTCTTCGGCTCCACCTACCTTCTCCTGGCTCCTGATGTCACAAGTGATCCCTTTCAGCACCAGATCCAGCTCAGGCCGGTACCGTACTTGGTAGTTGTTAAACTGAATCTCCCCTTTGCTGGGCCAACCTGCTGGGGGCCTCTTCTCAGTCACCCAGGGTGCCTGGCGGGGAGACAGGAGGAGAAGCGCCTTACATGGAGCCAGCTCGCTGAACAGCGCCCGTGGGACTCAGGTCGCAGAGCAGTAGAAAGGTAGCCGTGTCCCAGCCACCGGGGCACCTGCATTCAATAGCCTGAACTAGACTGGGACTTCCAGAGGTTCCTACCATATTCAATCCAAGAAACCCTATCCCACAGGTTTGCTCGGTGGACCTCCAGAGTGAAGCCACCATTCAACGTGGCACCTTCCAACACCTGACTTCCCCCAAACCATTTCCTACTCTAAGTTTCAGGAAATTGGGCCATTTGAGTTAGAACAGGGGAAACTTTTAGGAGGACCTTTATAGCCACCACATCTTCTAGGCCAGGAGAAGAGGCTCTCTCAAGGGACCCACACCTTTTTCTTTGCCTTCCCCCAATGCCCTCCTACCTCATTTTCCACATTTATGTACTCATTTATTCGCTCAACAGCCACAATGTTGGTCTCGACTTCTGAGGTCATCCTCACCAGCCAGTTTAAGGTTTGTGTGATCTACAGGAAAACCGGAAGACCAGAGATCATGTCAGGCTCAGAAACCAATGGAACTCGTCAAACCACAAGGTCAATCCCGTGCCTACGTTGCACCCAGCATTATGCCGAGCTCTGCAAGGGAGCCAGGGGCGTGAAAGTACCAACGTTCACCTCTTTGGGGGGGAACGGAGACCAGGGTATCAAATGGCTGGAGGACAACTGTGTGCTGCTCACACGAAAGGGTGTCTGGGCTGAGTTTGGGCTACAACTGGGGCTAGAGAAGCTGGCTTTGGTGGAGTGGGACCGACCCTTGGCCCTCTTTTTAAAAAAATATTTTTTATTGATTTTTTACAGAGAGGAAGGGAGAGGGATAGTGAGTTAGAAACATCGATGAGAGAGAAACATCGATCAGCTGCCTCCTGCACACCCGCTACTGAGGATGTGCCTGCAACCAAGGTACATGCCCTTGACCGGAATTGAACCTGGGGCCCTTCAGTCCACAGGCTGTCGCTCTATCCACTGAGCCAAACCAGTTAGGGCAACACTTGGCCCTCCTGTCTGTAAGCCTACTGTTCTTTGTGGGAAGGGTGGTGGGCCTTCTGCAAATGGGGAAGCATAAGAAAAGAAACAAGGGCCCAGTCAGCATGGTCAGTGGTTGAGAGTCGACTCATGAATCAGGAGGTCGTGGTTCGATTCCGTCAGGACACATGTTCTGGTTGCGGGCTCGAATCCCAGTGTGGGGCGTGCAGGAGGCAGCCAGTCAATCATTCTCTCTCATCATTGATGTTTCTATCTCTCTCTCCCTCTCTCTTCCTCTCTGAAATCAATAAAAACATGTTAAAAAAAAAAAAGAGCCCTAACTGGTTTGGCTCAGTGGATAGAGCGTCGGCCTGCGGACTGAAAGGTCCCGGGTTCGATTCCGGTCAAGGGCATGTACCTTAGTTGCGGGCACATGCCCAGTGGGGAGTGTGCAGGAGGCAGCTGATCAATGTTTCTCTCTCATCGATGTTTCTAACTCTCTATCCCTCTTCCTCTCTGTGAAAAATCAATAAAATATATTTTTAAAAAAAGAAAGAAAAGACACAAGGTAGGAAAAGGCCTTCCAAAAAGCTGCTGCTTCTCTCTGCTCTCAATGAACAACAGCTCCATTTAGAACCCATCCCACAAGGTGGGACATCCATATGGGTCCTCATCCTCCTTTACCAGAGTAAACAACAGCTGCCTTCCTGCCATTACAAAGATGTATCTAACCACCAGTAAGAGGGCTGTCATGACCTTGGCCAGTCTAGAGGCTGGGGAATCTGCAGATTACTCATATGCAGGCTTCATTCAGGCAAAGACTCAAACCTGGGTGTTTCTATTGAGTGAATGGTGGTTAGAGAGGAGAGCACGGGGTCATGGGGACTCAGAGTAACCGCTTTGTGTAGGCTGAACCACATGAAACTTTTGATGTTGAATGCTTATGCTTTGGTTCAGTACAGAAATTCTCTAATTCCTTGCCCCATCTCTCCTGGGTTATTAAGCCTAGAAATGGGTGGAGGGAGAAGCAGTGGCACAAACCGAGTGGCATTCTGGTGAACAACAGGGTCCTTTTGGTGCCCGCTGTGACCACCTTGGGCCTCATTAACTTCTGAAGACAGAGCCATGTAGAGTGTGCTGGTAGCTATGCAAACCTCCGGTATATTAGTTCAAAGAGATACCATGAAAGATGGCCCAATGACTCATTTAATGAGTATCACTTATTGAATATTTACTGTAGTGCCAACCACTGTCTTAGGTGCTAGGAAATAATATCTGAACATTTATCCCCTAGCCACACTGGGGATGTAATAGATAGTTTTATTGGGCCCTCTGTTCTTTATTGGAATTACCTTCAATTATTCTGTGATCTAAGAAAAACAATCATAGAAGTTATTTGTTCAAAAGACTTTCTGGTTACTGCTATATTATGGGAAAGAAACTCAGTTACTCTCTCTTTCGACTAGAATCAAGCAAAGAGGCAAAGAGACAAGGAACTGTTCGGTTGAATCATATGAAATTGCTTTCTTAACTCCCAAGGGCAACAACATTTATGTCCAGATGACACTGAAACCTATTTAGAAAGTGTGTAAATAACTATCATCAAGGATGAAAAGAAGACAATCAGGTTCCCAACCAGCTCCAGACGAACTGCAAGCCACCTGTGGGACAACAGAACCAGAGAGGGGTGTTACCAAGAGGTATCCACTTTCTTACCTTACCTAGCAGCATAGATGTTTCTAGAACATTCTCAGGGGGCTCAAGTTGGTAGAATGGTGTTCTTAGCAGGTGCTTTGACTTGACTATACCAGGTGTTCCTAAAGTCTTTCAAGTTGAATTTTAGAAAATAAATTGCATTTTAAAGATACTAGAAGAGTTTCCTAAACTAAGGGAATCCTATGGTTCAATGTCTCCCAAACTTGCCAAATCCTAAGAATCATCTGGGGCAATTGTTAAGAATATACAAAACGATGCAAAAAAAAATGTTTGGACTCTTCCCCAAGAGATTCTCACTCAAGGGGCATAGAATGGGGGTCGGGAACCTGTATTTTTAACAAATGTTTCAAGTGATTTCTTCTGATTAGGCAAGGGGAATAATGCCAGAGATAATCCACATGTAACATCACAGCAGGGCTCAATGTATCCTGTCTGATTTCATGATTTGAAAAGGTAGAGAAGAGATGGGGGAGGGCGTGGGGGAGAGGTTAGGTGCAACTTGATCATACAGTGATCAACTGCAGAGAACCGAGTAGGACAGAGATAGACATAATTTATAAAAATTGACTTGGCTCAGTAGTTGAGCATTGACCTGTGTACCAGGAGGTCACGTTTTGATTCCCGGTCAGGGTGCATGCCTGGGTTGTGGGCCTGATCCCCAGTGGGGGCATGCAGGAGGCAGCTGACCAACAATCCTCTCTTATCATTAATGTTTCTCTCTCTCTCTCTCTCTCTCTCTCTCTCTCTCTCTCTCTCTCCCCCCCCCTCTCCCGTCCTCTCTGAAATCAATAAAAATCTATTTTCTATAAAATTGACTTTTCCAAATAAAACGTACTTAAAGAAATTTGAACCAGTAAATCTAGCATTGTACATATAAATATGATGCATATTTACAATGAGCATCCAATAGGAATGATCTATATGCCTATTTCCTTCTTGAAACGTACCTAAGAAATCAAATATCTTTACAATCAAAATCCTGACCTCTCCATGTTCCAACTAATACTGAGATCATGAGCCTGCCCTTCATATCTCAAGACAATGTGGAAGGCACTCGAGAATTTTCACTTCCTCTACAAAACCTTCTTCCTTCAAGGACCTACCACTTTTTGCCAGGGTCCCGTGATGCCGGAGAAGTGAAGAATGCTCACCTTTCTCGGGGATTCACCCCACAGGATATGAACTTTTCATTGGCTTTCCCTGAAAATTCCCAGTTCTCCTCTCTCCAGCTTCTTTTCCCACCACCCTACAAAGAGTTTCCCTGCCTGTGGAGAATCCCACATTCACTCCCAGGGAAGCAAACAGAGAACGCCCAGGTCACCCAACACTTGTGTAGCACCTGGGTCACACGGTGCTCACAGAGGTCATTTGACTTGCACCAACGCCTGTGATAGAGGCTGTGTTCCAGCCATTGTGGAAAAAAAAATGAGGCTTCCCTTAGAGAGGTGGAGGCAATTCCCTAGCTTGGTAAATGGCAGAGCAGGCACAGGGACCCAGCCTCTGACTCCAAAGCTCAGCTTTCTTCTCTCTACTTACATAATAGGCGTGCTTGGCGAGAGTGACTTTCATATCATTGGCCATGTCTGTTCCCCTGCAGCTAATGTCCAACGTGCAGAACCCCAAAGCACACATTTGGGTAAATACCCAGGGAAGCCTCACCTGTTGGAGATAATCCAGGAATAGACACATTTCTGGTTAGTGTCAATCAACTCCTCACTGTGTTTTAGAAATCGTTGCTGGTGCTGAAATGCACGGATGACAGGCAAACCCGACACGGTCTCACTGAAGAAAGAGTAGAGTGGGGACCTGGTGACTGAGTCCAAACGCCTCAGCTGGCGGGAAGTGGCCACATAAAATATCTGGACCCCAAAAGTAATGAGTTAGTCACACAATCATGTCACATATGCCGCACCGCTTCCCTTGTGGCCATGACCCAATATTCTTCACCCTTTTTGAAAATGTATCTTTAGTGTTGAAAGTATTACAGAAGTCCCCCATTTTCCCTCCACTGACTCCCTCCACCGCGCACCCACCCCCTCCCCAGGCCTTCACTACAGACTATTGTCTGTCCCTGAGTTATGCATCCTATATAATAAAGAGCTAATATGTAAATGGTCATCATGCCCTCACACCGTCACGTCTTAATGGCTCAGACACTCAACACTGGGGAGAGAGGAATGGGGACCAGCTAGGCCTTGGTCCTGGGTACCTGCGGCTGGCCAGAGGAAGGGAAGTACGGGTCCCAGATGCCTGTGACCAGCTGGAGGAGGGAGAGCTAGCAGTCCCGGATTGTGAGAGGGAGTCGGACATCCCCAAGGGGTCCCAGATTGGAGAGGGTGAAGGCTGGGCTGAGGGGATCCCCCTGCCCCGGTGCACAAATTTTGTCACCAGGCCTCTAGTATATACATATAAATTCTTTGGTTAATATCTTCTCACTCATCTACTTCCCTCTGAAATTTGTCAGTCTGTTGCATGTTTTAATGTCTCTGGATCTATTTTGTTCATCAGTTTATTTTGTCCATTAGGTTCCACATATGAGTGAGATCATGTGATGTTTGTCTTTCTGTGACTGGCTTATTTTGCTTAGCATAATGCTCTCCAGGTCCCTACATGCTGTCTTCTTTATTTTTTAAATATAGTTTTATTGATTTCAGAGAGAAAGGGAAAGGGAGAGAGAGATAGAAACATCAATGGTGAGAGAGAATCATTGATTGGCTGCCTCCTGCACACCCCTTACAGGGGATGATCGAGCCGCCAACCTGCACATGTGCCCTTGACTGGAATCAAACCTGGGACCCTTCAGTCCACAGACTGATGCTCTGTTCACTGAGCCAAACCAGCTAGGGCCCTACATGCTGTCTTAAGAGGTAAGGGATCCTTCTTTTTTACAGCTGCATAGTATTCCATGGTAAAAATGTACCACTTCTTTTTTATACACTCACCTATGAATGGACACTTGGCTATTGTGCTGCTATGAACACAGGGGTGCATATATTTTTATGATTGGTGTTTCAGGATTCTTAGCGATGTTCTTCACCCTGATGGCCACAGCCTACATCGGAATAGGACAGAAGCCTCCAGCCTCCCCTCTGGCTAGCGGAATGATGAGAGAAGCCCAGAGGAAGAGGATGGTGGAAAGATCTGAGGTTGGTGAGGAACAGAGCCAACCTCACAGTGGTCTTGGACCTAAACATAAATATGCCCCGTTAAGCTTCTCGTGGGACTGCAGTGAAGGTGAGCTCTGCTGTGACCCATACACTACTTGGTGCTGATACTTCAGCTTCCGACAGGGGCCTGTGGGCTCCTGGGGCTATCAATACAGGAGTAAATGACGAAGATGCTGGAGAGGAGTGAGTGCCTAGCAATGAACAAAAGAGAAGGTTCGCAGGAAGGAGCCTGGGCTTTTATGTGTAGAGAGGAAAGGAGACCCAGCCATTTCCAAACCTACCTGAACAGACACATAAATTATGCCGAGAGGAATGACGATGATGATGAAGGCTGGAGTGGCCAAGCAGATCATGAACAGGGTGCTCATGATCCCCAGGAAGCACAGAATCCAGCTGCGCAAGGACACAGGGAGCGTGTCGTCCACGGTGGAAATATCCTGGGAACACGTAATTAGGCGAGATGGTGCATTAATGAGTCCCTATGGCATTTTAGATTTCCCTGATCCCAGCAGGAAACTTGCTCAATTCTGAGATCTCAGTGATTCCTTCATGTAAGCATTTCATGATATTCATTTGCAATAGACTGTTCTGCTCACGCTAACAACAAATCTTATTTCTATAATTTCTCTATCTTCCTAAATCATTCCAAACAGATATGGTAGTCATCCTTTAATAGATTTGTCAAAGGTTTTTACTATTTTCAGTGAAATTCCCATTTGTCAAATTTATGAAACCATTCGTAACCACCCTAAGTTAATAGAGCCTTACAAGGTAAGCCCCGCTAGAACCAAATCAGTTCAATTATTCCAACTTTACACAGGGCCTCGTTCTGTTGATTACCTAGAACAGAGCCTGGCATATAACAACCATTCGATAAACATTTTTTTGGAGGCTCCAGTGAAGAAGCCCTGTCACCTCTCACGGCCGCCTCCCCCTGCAACTCCC